AATCGGGGCAACCTGGAGTTTCTGAATCGGGACACGCTGGAGTTTCTGAATCGGGGCAACCTGGAGTTTCTGAATCGGGTCAGAGTGGAGTTCTGAATCGGGTCAGAGTGGAGTTTCTGAATCGGGACACAGTGGAGTTTCTGAATCGGGGCAACCCGGAGTTTCTGAATCGGGAGAGAGTGGAGTTTCTGAATCGGGTCGACCCGGAGTTTCTGAATCGGGAGAGAGTGGAGTTTCTGAATCCGGGCAACCTGGAGTTTCTGAATCGGGACACAGTGGAGTTTCTGAATCGGGACAGAGTGGAGTTTCTGAATCGGGAGAGAGTGGAGTTTCTGAATCGGGTCGACCCGGAGTTTCTGAATCGGGAGAGAGTGGAGTTTCTGAATCGGGACACAGTGGAGTTTCTGAATCGGGGCAACCCGGAGTTTCTGAATCGGGACACACTGGAGTTTCTGAATCGGGACAACCAGGAGTTTCTTGAATCCTTGGAGTTTCTGAATCGGAGTTTCTGAATCGGAGTTTCTGAATCGGGGAAAGTTTCTGAATCGCAATATATCCCCAATAACATCCAATAGCCCTTTTAAAGTGGAGTACATGTGGAATACATCTTGTCGATTGTTGTCGCCTCTTCTTCCTCATCATCTCTTCGCCGGCGACCTCTTGATCGAGACCTTAGAATTCGGTGCTCTTGCTTCCATTTGCCATTTAATACTATTACAATACATTTTAATACCCTGCGCCTTCCTTCCCACTTCACAAGTACACAGAAGGAGGGGGATGTGCCCCATACACCCAGCAGTTTCGTAACAGCTTAAACAAGATGTGTACAAACGAATGATCACACATCTATACGTTGCGAATACGCTGTTTTACATCGATGCATCAATGGACCACTGTATGTCTTGTCTTTTCGTTCATGTTCTACTTCTGCATCCATTTCTGCATACAATATGCCTGTGTAATAAAGTAATAAATGTCATGTCTCCCTCCATCTTTGTGTACATGTACGACTGTAGTCCTCTAGCCTCAAACATGCAACTTTGAGCCATCGACCGATACCCCACCCACAATTCAGGGCTAAGAAGTCTCAGCAGCAATTGCAGGTACTGCTTAGCCAATGTTCAATGGCATCAAGTGCCAAAGGGTCAAATGAGAGTACACAGTGCCGGTGGAGCAGCATACAGTAGCATGTATCCAAGGGACCGCGAACGTTCTTTCTTGCTCTTCTTCTCCTCGTCCTTTCTGCTTTTCTTGTCCTCCTCCTTTTCTTTCTTGCTTTTCTTTTCCTCCTCTTTTCTTGCCTTGTCCGATTTGTCCTCCTTCTCCTTGTCCTCCTCTTTCTTACTTTTCTTTTCCGTCTTGTCCTCTTTCTTGGATTTCTTCTCTTCCCCCATCACAGAGCTGGGCTTCAGCGTGAGGTGTGGGAAGTGGCAAGGGGTAATAATATGGCGTTCTGCCGTTGTGGAACACATCCCTTGTCAGACATGATAAAAATTCGAAAGTGTTAGGTCTGTGGCTGCTCCAGTTAGTCTTTCACTGTGACTGGTTATACACGCATGCATCATTTGTCATTCATGGCTCATTGACATATGTATCACTGCCACTCATTTGCCTTTCATAGCTCCGTTACTTTTTGTTCTTCGATCTTGGCTAAGACTTGCTGTTCACAGGTGCTTCCTGGGGCTAAGGGCAAAATGTTTTATTATGCTTTATTACTGTAATGCCGGCAAGGTCGGATATTGACTTGTGATATCTTGTCATGATGTGTCAAGCGTCAGGGTTGACCAAGCCAGGCATGCTCATGTCGCTGTGAGCTTGAAGCATCGCAGTAGAAACGAGTGTTGCTGAAAAGGACGTGTAAAAAAACATCTCATATTCACGGCCCGACATGGCCGGAGTAGATCAGCATAGATTTCAAATATCCTATACTGATTCTGCGAGCATTGAGGCCACCAATGGCCACCAAGCGTGCAAAGTGCAGCCTCATTCTTTCCCTAGATATCCAAAATTATCAAAAAGTGCATCCACTGATTGCAATGACATAACTTGACATAACAACTCGATAAATTTGATCGCTCCTCGCCACCCAAAGGTCATGCGGATGCTGTTTTCAACAGCTGCCCTATCGTGCCTGGAGATACCTTGCCGCCACCTAGGGTTTGGGGGGCCGCAAGCCTCGCAGCATCAGCTGCACTTGACACATAGCATTGAAAAAGAATGTTGACAAAGACAGAGAACTAAAGTTTACAGAACATTCATCACGTTCATCACACTGTCAAGAGTCATCATGGGAGCATCGCAGTTTTCAATATTTTGCGGATGGACCTTGGTGAAAATTCCACAAAAGATAGAAAAAGCACACAAAGAAACACGTTGCAAAACAGAGTGGTCAAGTTCATTCCACTACGAAACAACCCGCATTCAGCTTTGCCTTTGCCCCTGGAGCAGGTCGCTCAAACGCAGGGTGCAAAAGACGAACTAAGTGGGACTGATTGAAACGGAGATACCGAGAAGATGTCACAATAAGAACGATTTCTTTCAGAAATTAGGAGATACAGGAGATAAAGGGAATGTATAGGGAATGTATAGGGGATGTATAGGGGATGTATAGGGGATGTATGGTGATACGTATGGCCTTTGGGGGGGCGCTTTCAACCTGGTCCGATCCGCCTGTCTCTGAGCCGAAGGAGCAAAGGCGGTGGTGAGTTGCACCCGCAGCGGAGCAGCACTTACACACCAAAAGTTAGGGCCTGAAGTTAGGGCTACAGCAGTAACATGCGGTAACTACATGTCTAACTAAAGCAACATCATATTATGGTTTGTGCTGCACAATTTGTGCTTGTTGTAGTTCAAAGATGCGCTAAGTCTACCGGCAATGTTGAATAGCATCATCCTTCATGTCTGTGCCGTCTATATCATGCCTAGAGTCTAGGCCCAACATATAGAAGTGCAGCGGACATCACCTCATTTGCAAAAGACTCGCTGCATGCATTTTAAGAAACTGGATGTGACTATCTTTGGATTCCAAGAAACCACTCACATTGTCACCATGAATAAACATTGAAGCCTTCACTGAGGCTTGACTGAACACCTATTGCGGCGGGCAAAGCAATCAAAGCAACACCACGACTCTCAGTTCTTTCCAGGAGAGATCAACTGCACGAGTGTCAATGCAAATTTAGGTCAGCTGTGAACTGATTTGCAAACACCAGCACTGCCAAAGAAATTAGTAGTACAGGTAAAAGAGGGTATACGCTACAAGAATGTGTGTGTGTAAATCTTCATTGAAAGATTCACCTCTTCATAATGATCATAATCTGGTTTTGTGTTTGCAATTTTGACGCATACTGACGCCGGACAAGCCGCTTTATTTTCACTTTGGCCCTTTCGGCTTTGCCCCGACCAAGGCTTCGATCCAAAGGCCTTTCAGAAAGATGACAACGGCTTATGACAGCTTTGCATCAAGCATCAGCGACATGCAAAAGAACATGAATGAAAATAGGGTTGAATCATGCACAGTACAGTATATTCAGTATATTCAGTATATTCAGTATATTCAGTATATTCAGTATATTCAGTATATTCAGTATATTCAGTATATTCTGTATGTATGTATGTATGTATGTACGTACGTACGTATGTATGTATATATATATACATATGGTATATACTTCTGTATATATATATATATATGATAATATATATGTGTGTGTGTGCATATGCATATAATATATATATATATAATTATCTAAATATACATATGAATATATCATATTTGAATATTGATATTGTTGCAGTTTGATGACTTTAATGGGTATGCTGCAGTATTTTTCATCCAGGTAGGGGTGCACTTCTTGGGGCGGAGCCTATGCATAGAGAGCCAAGATGGAGGTGCTGGAGTGCACGTCGTGCCCCGTCTCAGGTGCCTGTGATGAGCTGAAACTCTCGCTTTCACCAGGACACCAAGCTGAAGAACACACAAAGAAGGATTCAGCATGCATTCATAAGAAGGATTTGGTGAATAGCATTGAATAGCAAACTGGACAAAGCACCAAACCTTCTGTCCAAAAACTGACAATGTGTGTGCAGAAAGAATACCATGGATCGGTTATAAATTGGTATCCAAATAATGCCAGCATGCGTCAACACACATCAGAATTAAATCCGATTAAATACATGTATCAATGTACTACAGTAAAATATGTTAAAATGATATAAAATCTCAAAATGTATCAAGATGGTTCAAAAAAGGTGTCATGTTTCGCTAGCTTTGAACCGTTTTGTCTGCGAATAGTTCCTGTGCCTCGCCAGAGGCTACAGCAACAGGTGCAATCAAACACACATGGTATAATAGATTGGATCAGACAGCTGCACGCTCACTGTGTGCCTAGATGGAAACAATCTAATTCTTCTTGCCAACAGGATTAATTTGCACTTGCGGTGAAGAAAGTCATTGCCGAAGCATGTAGTGAATGCAGTGCCATTCTGCTACAACTCGAGGGACTTGGCAATATTTTAAAGTGTCCAGGTTCCCACACCAACGCAGCTCTGAGACCGGCAGCATCCGTCAAGATACCTAGCGGGATCTGGAACGCACCAACACTCCAGGACATAATCGAAGAGGCATTTTGGACGCTAGGATCTCATCGCACCTGCTTCTGTCCCTCCATTTTTGGCATTTACATCTTCAATTTCATGCAGTGCAAGAGTTGAACTTTTTTTCCGATAACCAACAGTAGCTTGGCATAGGGTAACGGGGTTGGCTTCACTTGGGCCTGCCAGGCGCCCACAAAGCCGCGCAGAGTTGTCAGCCAACTCCTGCGAGTGCCGTACCTGCCAGGCGGCAACGTCTTTCTGTGTCTGCAAATAATGCGCCGCCCCTGCCTTCCACACATGAAATCTTTCTGCTTCCCTTAACTGTAACCACACTGCATCAGGAACCAACAAGAACGCACAACCAGACCCGCCCGAGCACTGTGGCACGCCACCATCCAAGGCCACTATGCTGTCGGTATCTGTCGGTTGACCTCCCGCAAAAATGGCCAGAAAGGCGATGCTGTCACAGCTGCTGCTGTCACATTTGCTCACCAACACCGCACTAAGTTCCTTGCACGATCTCCTGAAGCTGGACCTAGGAATCATTTCTGGGATTGAAATTGAAGTGTTCTGGTTCTGTTTGGATCCAGCTTGCGATTGCAACGTTGGCATCTCAGTGCAAAACGCCGAGGAGTGCTTCCAGCTGGCTTTTCTGCTGCAGCACTTGCCGCATCCTGGCCCATCAGGACATGCAACATGCTTGAAGAAGTTCCAAAGCATCATTTTAAACTTTAAAAATACAATGTCTAATGTCTATGATTTTCGGTGCTCATGATTTAAAAAAGTTCCAACACCGCAGAGCATTTTTGGATGAATTGAAACCTTGCATTGAAGCCAGGGTTTCAAGGCGTTCAATCAGCACCTTGCAAGTGAAAGAAGACGTCCACACGAAAGTGGCTCTGGAACTCACAAACCCAAAACTGTCGTAGGCACGCTGTTCACTCAGGCATGGTTTTCTTCTCTGGCTATCTTGACTTTCTGATGCGTCATTTCTGTCATACATTGGCTGAATGCTTTTCATTGCTGGTATTGCGAAGACTCTTGCTGTTGTATGGTTGCTTTCAATCGCGCTGTCCTCCCACAACCCAATATGTAGGATTATGTAGTAGAATATATGTCCTTTTCTTTTGTTTCGGAAAAAGATTACGCCTCATTCACGAAGTAGTTGTCAAGGAAGCATTGAAAGGCATCCCGGAAATGCACAGCCTGAACAATCAACAAAGAGTCACCCAGGGCTGCACCATGTGTGTGTACCATGACAAATGGCAGCATCAAGAAAATTGAAGAATTCACCCTGGATTCTCCTACAATACCATGTATAAATAACAATAAACACTATATATATACTATACTATACATATATCCACTTCGTTGGGACGCAGAAAAACACTTCGTCTACGCACCCTTTGCTGCGTGGCCTCATCTGCTCGGTTGGACTTTGCAGCAACCTCAATGCCGCAGAAAGCTTCGTAGATCAATAAATATACCCTTGTGTGGTGCCAGGGGGAGGGATGGGGCCCCTAAAAAAATAAAATAAAGGGGCCTAAGAAAAACATAGAAATAAAATGATCGGGCATAAGGTAAAATGAGAAAACACGAGCTACACACACTAAAAGAAAACCTGGTTAGGCCCCTCCCAGATGGCAAATGGTGGAGGTTGGGCCCTGGCATGTTCTTCCCTTGTCAATCTTGTTATCCAGGTTGTGTTTCGCTAAAAATGGCAGGCCCCAATCTACATCAACATAAACTGGAAATCTTCCAAGGCGCTGTGCCTTTCACAAGACTTTGCCCCAAAAAAATGATGTACATATAAATTCGATAGCAACTGTTGTTTCATGATGTTTAAATCCTCAAAAAAAGCATAATGTTCACAGCTGTTCATCTCTGCTATCATAATATCTCTGTCAGCTATGTTCATGGGTTAAGCCCCTCAAAAAAAAACATACCCAAAAAATAAAATGACGTGATCTGTGATCTGACCCGTGTTATTTTCAGAATACATCCGAATCTAGTCGGATTTTCATTTTTTAAGGGGCTCCAGCCCACCCATCCTATTTGGGCACACCGGTGGAGGGTAATAAATCATTCTTTTTTCTATGCGACTGCAACAACACAGTTCAGACATTGCCACATGATGTGAAGAAGATCACCAAGGGCATTTTTTCATGGTTTTTTCAAACACTCTCTTTACATGGTGTTTATGGCTATCGTAGTACTCTCTTCTCTCCTCCAAGACGACTGCAACACCATCAGCAGAGCACAGAAACTGCCACGCGCGGCCTGGAAGATCGGAGGAAGTTCGTTTCCAGCGCGTGACACCACGGCCTGGTAACATGCCCAGAGAAGGCTTCAGCAGATGGATGAACTCTGGATGAACAAATAGCAGCAACACCTAAAGATTGATATTCCAACCTGATCAACTTCCAATTACTAAGAACTTCACACCGTTGACGCAGCACCAGAAACCATCCAGCTGCACCTTGAGCACCTTCTGCAATAGCCTGGCCATGCAATGCCTTGGCGGCTGTCGGTTACCTCTCGCCCTGGAGTACCTTTTTGTGACCAATTTGGTTTCTGGGACAATTTGCAGGAAACACTGCTCTTTTACCGCCAAATATAGACTTTCCTGTAACGATGTTCCCATAAATCAATCTATTGATTCTGACTTCAAAGTCCAGCCCATAATTCAAGTCTGTCCATACCAATACCAGCATTCCTAAGATCACACACACAAACACACCCGAACGAGATCATGTATTCTAATATCACCCTTCTCTGTTAGTGACCAATACATTTGTAGTATGCCGACTGATCATCAAGGAAGATTCTTGACTGGAGTTCTTTCTGCCTTATGGGGACGGGTTCCAAAACCAGGTCTGCCGTCAAAACGATCCTTTTGTACTGCAATGGTGCAATGGTGCTGCTTTTCAGCTAATTCCACATTGCACTGGCTGCAGGGGGTCAACAAGCAAAGGTGTTCCTGTCCTAATGGAATTTTGAGGCACTCCCCCAAAGGCTCTAAGTTTCACAAAGACCATGAAAGAGCGAAGGTTGAAAAGGAGAGAACCTGTCAAAGCTGCTTTCAAGCTCTCAAAGATCCATGCTGGAACGACTCCTGGGAAAATTGTATAAATTTGACAGAGTTGGATTGCAGGTCCCTAGTGAAGTGAGCATGGCGCACCCTGCAGCTCTTTACAATGTGAGAAGGCGCCCAAGCGCCGACCGTAAAAGTTGAGAATGTGGGAATGCCGACCAAATTCCATGCATTCACCAAGTTGAGATCCTTCATGCGCTGCATCGCAGTGACCTCCCAGCAATTCGCTTCAAGAGACTGCCACTCACCCACACATGGAAAGCCATCTTGGGACCACACCTGTACAATTCATAGAAAATGAAAGTTTGGTGCTACTGAAGTGCTTGACTCCTTGACCTACAAAGCCATGCCTCCAAGATCTTACGGCAGCTCCATGGCATCTTTGATCTCTTGTGTAAAAGTCGGCGTCTTTCCTGATCTGACCATGTCAATCCATGGCGAATCGGACACCGCAAGCGACGCGCTCACTTGAGATAGAAATGGAATTGGCCAACCGGCAGACACTGCCTTTATGCTTTGAAAGTGAAATGTGTTTTTGACATCCACTTTATGTTTCGAAGAGCAAAGTGCAGTTCAGCCACTGTTTCCACCTTTTGTGATCCGGCGACGCTTGCCTGGGCTGCGACACACTTCATGTTAATTACCCTGCTGCTTGGGATATCCACAAGCGATGGCTGGATGTGAGCGTGCGGGAAATATGGCCGTGCGCAGCTACCTATTGATCCTGACCATTGGTCTCTGAAGTGCTTTCCAACTTTCAGGTTCCCAAAATTGAGCTAGAAGCTATGAGTTTGATGCACAACACAAATAAGTTTCGAAGCCTAGAGGTTCTCCAAAGAATTCCCAATGCCCACAATTGCTTCCAGTTGCTTGGCTTCTCTGGCGATTCCTTGGTGTAGCTAGTCGGGTCCACTGCAACTATTTGTTCTGCTGGGTATGTGGAGAAAGCAATCATGTGCATGTGACCCCAGACACCAATCAAAGGTAGAAAAGGAAACAAGTCTTCATCAAATTGCCACTCTTTGCATGTAAAATCCGACAATGCCATGCTTAGCCGAGCTTCAGGATCAAGTTTCTTCACAGTATTCTTGCATGCCTCCAAGAGCTTCTCCAGCCCAGCCTCCTGCAGTGCCTGTCGCACCAAAGACCCTATAAATCTATGAATGAACAGCAGACCAATGCTCTCTTCAACTGCAAAAGAATTGTGCCAACTGTGTCAACGGACTCTTGCGTCTGAATAGAGAAGCGGATGTGAGTGTTTTTTGGTTTTCACACAATCAGATTGAAGGATCGCAAAACCTACAGTCTGGGAGTATCTCTGCTCCTTTCTCGCCACAAACAGAGCGGTCACCCACAAAATGTCTGACTATGCTATGACAACAAATCATAAAGTCAAGTTTGAATTGTAATCAAATGTCTCCAAGAATTGTTTGATTGAAGAGGGCAAGAAATTCAATGCATGGTCGCAAACCGAAGTTCCGGCCTGATTGGACTGCTCCTTTGCCCATGATGCCAGGTTGTCGATCAAAACGTCTTCTACCACCTAGGCATCGCAGGGCAGGTTGAGATGGCTTGATGCATCAAGATGACCAGCGGCCAAAGCCATGCGCTACCAAGTGACATGCTTCGTGATCCACGGAGTCAAGGCCTGGACCACGTGGAAAAGGTTGATATGAACACGTAGGTAACATCCCAAGCTTTGGTTGAGCCTAAATTACTGAAATGGACCAAAAAGTGCTGATTTCTTGACAATTCCAGATTTTGGAGATGAAAAGTTGCTCCCTGCCGGACACGCCCGTCCGCTCCTCCAAGAAGCCAGCGGCGCTACCAGCAGCAGCGTTCACCACACCACGGCGCAGGGTGTTGAGGAGCGCTTTTTGCAACGGAGGTGTCAGCCTCAGTGGTCACCAACTCCGATAGCCAGGTGGATAGAGATCACATCCCGGAGACAATTCATCCAAAACACTTTCCCACACCCACGTGTTGCAAGAGCCTGAAGGAAAGATCTTTGGCAATGGCAGTGCCTTCGTCCTGCAATAGCAGTAAATGCAGTAAACAATCAATCATGAATCATGACAAAAAGGGGGGTGCATACACAATTATATACACCCATACTGTATAATACAAAAGGATACAGTACACATGTATATCTGTATAATATTTACATATATATGTATATATATATATGTAATTATATTTATTCGATTTTATTTGTATAATTGAAACAATATTGCCTCAACCTTTGGTAGAAACACGTTTCTTCCGACTGCTGCCTGCTGCAGCGCACCTATCAAAATGGTCAAGTTACGTCAAGTTGATCTTGAGAGGAAAGCATTGAAAGAATCTTTCTTATGAGGCGTTCTGGCTTCTGATTGAAACTTGTCCAAAGGATGTGAAGTCAGCACCGCCTGACCTAAGGAGTCTCACATTCATATCACTATCCTTGTGCAAGAACTTCACAGCTGCAAGCAAGGTTGTGAAAAAGCCCTGCAAGACTGCAAAACCCAAGGCTCCGACACTTGAGAGTTAAACTGACGTACCGCTTCCAAAATCGGACTACAAACAGCAGCACGGAGGCCACCACTAAAAAGTCTCTGTATGTCTCTGTGATGGCTTGGAGGCAATCTCCTAAGAGCACACAAAGTTCAATTCCAACCCTTCCCCAGCTGACGCCTCGGCAGAACTCAGGTACATCAAGTCCTTGAAGCATCATCACTGAGTCAAAAGTTTGCAGGCCTTCTGCAACAGAACAAATACATGGGAAAATGCGGAGCTCTTGAGGTCCCCAGGCTCTGGCATCCCGGACACCAGATCAAAAATCTTAAATTTGTCAGTTCACCTCTGGCCTGTCTTGCAACTAGACGCCACTCGGGAGACTTCGTACTTCATAGTAGAACAACACCATTCTCAAGTCCATGATAGTCCATGACCCATCTTGGCAGTACAAGCTTCAACATTTTTTCTTCTGATATTCAGGAAAGTTCAGAAGAGAGAGGCTATTACTGTTTACTAATCTGCACCCACTTCCGCCACTGATCGCGCACCTCCTCTAACAACTTCCCCAAGTGATTCGCCAAAGCATCCTGAAGAGCATCTGGCAGCTGGCAGAACCAAGGCTTCACCTCGGTACCCAACACATCGGATTTCAAAGAACCTGGACCACCATCGAAGCCCAGCCCGAACCCTGGCACCTCTTCGGTCTTTCCAAAGTGGGCGGCGTTCCACCAGGCGCTCAAGGTGCACAGGGCAACCCCAAAGGCAGCGCTCTTCAGTCGACGAAGTCCGCATTCATGACAACCCCACAAAAAAGAAAAGGTTTCAACCACACCACAGATACAGAGCATGTCTGTTTTGGAAAATTGAAGAATGATCAACTTGTGGAGAGACATCCAACAAATAAAACGCGTGGCTAAGAGCTGAATTTTGAAAACCTTCCCTTGTAAAAAGTGCAAAAAGTGCAAGAGATCAACAACAAGGTCCAGCTCAAGGTTCAACTGCCCCGCCAAGTGGCAAGTTCCAATAGATCTTCGGCTGCTGTGCTCGCCTGCCTCAGCCACACATTTCAGCACTCCTGTCCTAAAAAAGAAATCGTAAGCGTGCATGTAGTCACAATAGTCACACAGACTCAGAAAAGCGAATGTCACAGAAGTGGCTGCCAGTTGTCCATGTTGTCCCCCCCAGTTTTTCGAAATAGATCAATCCACCCGTCCCCCTGTCCTTCTAAATGATTTTTGAAAAGAGCACTTCCCAGTTTCGTGATCCCCAGTAGTGGATAGATTGGGTAGATCCATGTAGATCCAAGGCCCCAAGGTTTTGGAACGCCGAGCTGCTGCAGCTGACGCTCGTCCCGAACGTCTGCTGCCACTGCTGGCAAGGGCTGCATCAGCTGGCCGGCGTGGCGGACAGAGATCAGGGCCAGGAGTTCCAGCAGAGTGACCTCAAGGAGCTCCCAATCCCAAAATCTTCTGATTCAGATTGATTCATGAAATCAACTTGACTTGGAGTCTTGGAGGTACAGAAGTTATGGAAAGTCTTCCAAGGGAATCAGCAACAAGTGCTTCAAACATAGAATCTCGAAAAACGGGGAAAAAATCATGTCCAGCAACACTGCAACACCTCTTGAATTGCATGAATTTAGAGGCGTGTGCACGTGTGTTCACGTTTAGGCTTTGGCCAAGGCGCCGTCAGCTCTGGTTCCACTGTCCCTGTTTGGACACACTCATCAACCACGCTCAAAGCGGTTGACACAAAGCCTTCCAGGGTGTTGCAGGACGGATAAGTTGAGGCAGCCATTACTTTCTCGAGCACTCAGTCGCAGGGATGCTTGGCCAATAAGATCTGATGTTTTTTCGGTCCCCGCGCCTTCCACATCACACAAAGAAACATCATAAGCCTTCGCAAGGATGCGAAGTCGCTGAGATGTGGCCAGCAAGGTGTCTGGCATGGGCCTGGCATGGGTACCTCGCAAATGTGGATCCGTTCTGAGCGATGTGCCAAGGATAAGATCCAATCAGGAAGCTTCTGTTGAGGGTAGAGGGGCTCATGGGTTCACAGCTTACCCACGTTCAGCTTTCATGTTGCATTAAGTTTCAATGTGTTCATCCAGTTCGTTTACCTCTTCCTTTCGTTTCAAGCCGTTCATTTCGTTACCTCCTTTCTTATCTTTCTTTCGCTTCAACTCTTCTTTCCTGTTCGTCTTGCGCTTCCTTTCCTTTCAACTCGTCCATTTCATTGCGTCCGTCCTTTCGTTGCAACTCTTCCCTTCCATTCGTTACTTCCTTCCTTTCGTTTCAACTCTTTTTCATCCCTTTCGTTACTCCTTCCCTTCCCTTTCAACTCTTCCCTTCCGTTTCCTATACGGCGTGCCTTTCGCTTCAACTCTTCTCTTCCGTCCATTACTTCCTCCCCATCGTTTCAACGCTTCCATCCTGTTCATGTAAATTAAACCTCTTCTTTCGGGGGGAATTCGCCTTCGGAGCGCACTTCGTCTTCGGTGAATTCGTCTTCGGGGGGAAATTCGTCTTCGGGGGCAATTCGTCTTCGGGGAATTCGTCTTCGGAATTCGTCTTCGGGGGAGATTCGTCTTCGGGGGGCAATTCGTCTTCGAGGAATTCGTCTTCGCAATTCGTCTCCGGGGGGCAATTCGTCTTCGGGGAATTCGTCTTCGGAATCCGTCTTCGGGGGGGATTCGTCTTCGGGGAATTCGTCTTCGGGGAATTCGTCTTCGCAATTCGTCTTCGGGGGCGAATTCGTCTTCGGGGATTCGTCTTCGGGGAATTCGTCTTCGCAATTCGTCTTCGGGGGGGAATTCGTCTTCGGGGGGCAATTCGTCTTCGGGGAATTCGTCTTCGCAATTCGTCTTCGGGGGGGGAATTCGTCTTCGGGGGGCAATTCGTCTTCGGGGAATTCGTCTTCGGGGGCAATTCGTCTTCGGGGGGGAATTCGTCTTCGGGGGGCAATTCGTCTTCGGGGAATTCGTCTTCGGGGGCAATTCGTCTTCGGGGAATTCGTCTTCGCAATTCGTCTTCGGGTGGGAATTCGTCTTCGGGGGGCAATTCGTCTTCGGGGAATTCGTCTTCGGAATTCGTCTTTCGCAATTCGTCCTTTCTCGGGGGGAATTCTTCCCTTTGGTTATTCGTCTTCGGGAATTCGTCTTCGCAATTCGTCTTCGGGGGGAATTCGTCTTCGGGGATTCGTCTTCGGGGAATTCGTCTTCGCAATTCGTCTTCGGGGGGGAATTCGTCTTCGGGGGGCAATTCGTCTTCGGGGAATTCGTCTTCGCAATTCGTCTTCGGGGGGGGATTCGTCTTCGGGGGCAATTCGTCTTCGGGGAATTCGTCTTCGAATTCGTCTTCGGAATCGTCTTCGGGGGGCAATTCGTCTTCGGGGAATTCGTCTTCGTAATTCGTCTTCGGGGGGGGAATTCGTCTTCGGGGGGAATTCGTCTTCGGGGAATTCGTCTTCGGAATTCGTCTTCGTCTGCGGGTGGAAATGTCTTACCAGCACAGCGGGCTCAATGTATATATATATATATTAGTATAAGGTTTGCAATGGAAAATCTTCCACCAGCTGTTGAGCCCCGCCTCCTTGAGGACCTCAGCCTTGGCCAAGTCGCAGGCGCAGCGCAGCGCAGCAGCACTCACAGAGGCATCGATGTCGTGGCAACACTCCAAAATGCGTGGGCCTCAGAATGTCGTGGAATTCCCTGGTTTTTTCAACGGTTGGTCTGGCTGCGGGGTCCAAAAAAAACATCACTTTTCGTGGTACCAAGGTAATATACATCATGGTACATCAAAAACTTTTTGGTAGCCAGTAATTATGATATAATTGGAAGATGACTTGACTTGAGCTTAAGAGTCCAAACCAACTGATTTTTTTAGCAAACATATGAGAAGTGCCCATTTTGGATGGCATTAAAACTCATGTGTCCGTCTGTCCCATTGCAGTTTGGCTGCGAAGGTCTTCAGCCAAGGATTTTACCTAGCAGCTAGCATTTGTCGGAGGCTCCATGGCTGAAGGATGTGTAACTGGCCATCTCGTTGGAAGAGTGAAGTACACATCATCCAACATCATCCAACGTCGGTACGTCTCAAATAAGGGATATACTAATTATATATGTGTGTATGTGTATATATATATATTGTTAAAGGGAACTGCACGGTAGTAAGCTGTGACATGTCATCAATCACACATGTCCACAGCTCCGCATGAAACCGCCAATACATTTTGGCTCAAGACCCCATTTGCGGGGTAAAAAGACTGCACCGTCTGACACTGCATGTCGCCTGCGTTGGTTAACTAGCACATCGAGTATCTCAACTACAACTGCACCCCGAACAAGGGTAAATTTGCTCACAGGTTATCAGCCGTAGTGCTCTTACCCTCAACGAGGGAAGAGTGCTCACGTGCTGTTAGCCGGCGCCTGGAGCAACGATCGTGGGCGCAAAGAACCGATCAGCTCTACATCGCAAAGATTCAAGGCAGCAGTGGTGACACTCAGTTTACCTTCAACGACAATTCTGTAGCGCCAGCCGAAGAGGTTTCACAGACTTCACCTGGTACTGCAGATAGTGGGTCTAAATCAACAATGTCGGGAACGACAATGGCAGGATGGTATGTAACTGGACATCGGAGGAGAGCGACAGCTAGTACTCCAAGATCGGCACGTGATGGCGCTCGAAGTGGAACACGACAAAGAGGCCATCGATCGCCGAGAAGAAGAACAACTACCCGACCGGAAAATCCGAGAGCAATCGAGGACCAACCCGGCAGGACAAGGGATGACGGTCGAATCAAGAGACGAACAACAGAAACAAGTGGAAGTAGAGGAAGTAGAGAACCCATTTCAGTAATTGATGAACTAAGGGCACAATGTCAATCTCTCCAAGAGAAGATGACCCAGTTGGAACTATATGCTGCGTCACGGGATCAACTCATCAAGGATATTGAAGTCAGACTACCTCAAGACACAAAATCAGAACGTGTATGATGAATTCAATACCCTCAATCAACGATTGATGTACTCAACCAATGAAGTTGCAGAATATCAAGCTGAACTCATGATAGCTTCTCAAGAAGATGAGGGTGCAACATTTCGCATTGAAGAACTCGAACGCCGAGGTGCCCTCATGGAGGACGGAGCCAGGAGAATTCATCAACGAGGAATGGAGATCCAGGAGGAGTACAAGGACGAAGTGTATCACCTTCGAGGACTATTGGGTAACACGGAGTCAAGATTACAACAAATGCAACATAACAGTGATCTTGCCACAAGTGTTGCCGAGAAATTGTTTCAAGAAGGAAGAGAGATGCAAGCTGGTTTTGAGAATTCCATAGTGGAGTATCGTAATCGATCTGAACTGGCATCGCACTCTCAAACTCATCTGGAAATGGCCAATCAACGACGAACTTTTGAAGTTAAAGAGTTGGTGGATGAAAACAATCTGATGAGTGAAGCACTAGTACATTCCCGCAAGCAAGCTGAGTTGTATGAGAACAGTATGGAACAGATCACTAGAGATTATAGGAAGAAGGTACATGAGGCAAACCAGGCCAAGATTGAAAGTGATCTGCGTCATCGAAACACTGAGCATGATACGATGAAGCGCTTTGAGGCTTACCGGAATGTCGATCTGAGGCTATCGCTCGACTAAGGCTTGAATCCAATCTAAGCATGAGTGCCAATAGCAGGATGGAGCACTATGAGAAGCTCTACGAGAATGAACATGCTCTGAACGATGAACTCCGGGCTGAGGTCAAGGACCGGGAAACGAAGTTGAGACGATCACTGAGAGAGGATCCTGCGGCCAACGGCCAAGGTCCTAATCGAGTCGCGATTGAACACCTCGAGAGTCAGATCAAGATCGCACAGATTAGGACCCAGGACCTTGTGGAAGAGCTTGGAGAATGCATGTCTGCCAATATCAGGCGGAAAGATGAAGTGGCTGAAGCTCCGAAGTTAGGGCCCACGGCTCACTTTGGTTCTGAAGTTGCAACACTTAGGTCTGAATTGGAGAGTGAGCGAAAGTTGAAACTGGCTAGTGGCGCCCAACATTATGAAAGGTCATGTGACTATATGGGGGAACTTCGGGATAGGGATGAAAAGCTGAAGTTAAAGGATTCCGAAATCCAGAACATGAAACGAAACGTTGATGATTTGAGAAGGAGCCTAAAAGATGCAGAGATAATCATCAAAACTCAGGGGGATCCGAGCCGACTCCCTTACTCCGCAGGTATCCCTCCGATATACCCTTCATCGAGATCTAGAGTTGAGGTATTGGAGAACGAGGTGAATGCGGCGAACACCGAGATGACTGTGCTTAGGACATGGAACCCAAAATTGGATGAGGCGCTGAATGAAGAGATGAACGCCTCCAATGCCGGCTATGTTCCTAATGAACCAGTCAACCAACAGCCATCGCAACCAGGTCAACGAGTGGCCGAACTTCTGCGTGATGTTGATCGGAAGATTGCCGCAGACATGAGAGCACAAGGATTTGATGTTCCGAATGGAGATGGACCTCCTGATCCAAGTGGACCACCAGGACCTCCTGAACCACCAGGACCACCTGGACTACCTTCAGTCCGTGGATCCCAGAGAGACTCTGTAGCTGATGACGTGTCGACGACAGCATTCACTGCTGTTGAACCCCCATGAGTTTCTCGAAGGGAAGCCGACAAAGTGTACATCAGCCCATGGCCAAAGCATCAGAACTTGGGGGTATGGACATCTGATCTCATCAAGAGCGTTTGCCTGGCAGCCAACGATGGCGATAGAGCCGCGTGGGAGGCATGGTTGCAGCCGGCAACACAACCAAATCCTGACCTTGACGCCCTAAACGACAGTGACGGCCAGAGATTCCAGTCCATCGATGCAAAGCTTTCAATCGCTCTGTCTAATGTCATCACGCAGGCTGATGATGTTGCTCGACATGTAGCTATGAAGTTGAGGCTGAGGACTCAGGCACATGGTCGGAGAGGGACGTATGTCATGGGACGGGAAATACTTGCCATGATCATGAATCATTTCAGAACACCAGGGCAACGAGAGACCGCATTCACTATGGAGCACATCATCCGATCGCAATACCATGGAGATGCGAACATTGAAGTGTTCTACGAAAAGTGGATGGAGATGGTCACTAACATGATGCCGGATGACATCCCTCCCGATGACTGGCTACGGGATGTTCTATACAAGAAGATCAGAAACTCCCATCTATTGATGTTTGACATCAAGCAGTATGAATCATGGATTGAAGGAGACCCAAGGAGATCTTATCAGCATCTTCTCGACGTCATTGAGCGACAAATTGCTAGGATCAGAGAAGACAAACATGTTGCTGCAAGAAAGAAGTATGCAAGAGATTTTGCTGGCGGAGGGAAGCCTACTACTCCTGCACCATCGACACCTGCTCCACAGGATGCAAATCCGAAGGCCAATGCCAAGGCGAAGGCCAAGGAGAAAGCTGCTCCGAAAGCCAAAGCTAAAGTCGAGGCCGCTCCTGTTCTACCATCTTCCCAACCGAAACAACATGCCAAAGGTAAAGGGAAAGGGAAGAATCGTGGAAAGTCGAAGACCCCAAGTCCAAGCCCACGAGAAAAGAAGAAGATTCCATGCCATTTCCACTTTATCAAGAAGTCTTGCAAGAAAGGGAAAGATTGTGAGTATAGTCATGACCAGAAGACGTTTGATGCTAGCAAGACTGGCGGATCGGGAAAGGTAGGTGGAAAGACGCCAAGAAGCCAATCTCCAGCCAACAAGACAAAAAAGATAGATGAACCATGCTGGCACTGGGCGAAAGGGAAGTGCCGCTACGGTGACAAGTGCAACAAACGGCATGATCCACACTTGTTCAACCTTCATCCAAGGCGACTCCTGCACTTCTTCATGATGATAGCGATGTCGAGATGCCGATCTTTAAGGCGGCATCCAGTCAGATGAAGAAGAAAGTCAAGTTCGACACGAAGGCGGACGAGGTCCATGTTTACGAGAAGAAAGACTTCGTGAAATGTATCCGAAAATCTCAGACGGATCCCAAGATGCATGGAAAGGTAGGTAAGACCACGGAGGAAATCAGAAAGGATGACCAGTGGGCCTACTCAAGCAGACTTGCGCTCAGCCGAGGAAAAGCCATGGCCACTATCATGGATGAGAAAGGGGACTACCGTGACATTGATGAAGTACTCGTCATTGTCGGCCCGACGTTGGACATCCTGATCAAGATGGAACACGATGATGATGGTGACCCGTCAAGAGAGGTCTTCGTCGAGAACTACGTTCAACATGTCGAAGGCCGATATGGCAAGAGGGGAAGCATCATGTGTATCACGGTACCAGTTGAGGAGAGAGACAAGAGATTCATTATGGATTCTGGTAGCGGACATGATCTCATTTCTGCTAGGAAGATCGACAGAATGGATCTTCCAACTTATGATGACACAACCGTGAACTTCCATACCGCAAACGGTGTGACCAGCTCAACGAAAAGTTCCGACATCGTCTTTTGATGAACCTGCTCAAGCGCATATCCTGGAAGAGCTATCCATGGGGAAACGATGTCTTGACCTTGGATATTCATTCATATGGCCTTCTGGGAAAAGCCCATATATGCTTGATGCCGACGGACACATCATTGAAATGACTGTCAAAGACTACATCCCATATGTGAGCATCGATCAGAAGAAGAAGAGAGGACAATCATCAAGAATCGAGAAGATCCTGAACATCATCAGTGACGAATGCTCAACATCTGAGGGTGAGAACATGATGGTTATCGATGGTGAAAGTGGAGATGAGCTGGAAGATCTTACCAACAACGTCGGAAGATCAGAAGGCAAGTCGCACAACAGGGCCAAGAAGAAGAAGAAGAAGAGCAAGGACAAGAAAGCTACGAAGATGCCCGAAGTTGCCGTTGGTAGTGATGCAGGAGATGCTGAAG